GGGTCGTCGAACGAATAAGCTCGATTGCCGTGGACACGTAAACCATTTGTGGGTGAAGTGAAACACATGTGTCGGCCGAGCCGTGTTTTCCACTACAGAGCGACCGTCCCGTGTTTGGTCCGTGAATATCTCGCGTTTAGAAAGCGAAGTCGCGGGCCAGTTGTGATAATTCGTGGAAAATATAACGCGTTCGGTTTCGAAGATACCTATTAACGCAATGAGCGGCTTCTTCGAGATGGAATAGAACTCGTTGCAGAAGGCGGCAGTGCGTGGGTGGGTGGGTGTCTAGCGACTGCCACTCATGTATATCAAATTCCTTTTGGAATTTCAAGCAAAATGTGGCTGTCAAGCCAATGATAGTGCTCTTTCTGATTAAATGATCACCTGTGTGATCCATGCACATTAATCGGCATATTATCCAGATAGTCCTATTTGGGTTTAGAAGGAAATATTAGTTAAATTTCAGAGCAACGCTGTTGTCCACTGTCAATTTTTGCTAATGTCAGTCTGACAGTTTTGGAACGAACAAGACCAATATGATTGTATTCCTGGCCTGTTATCAACTCTATTGAGTTTGAAAGAAACTTATATGTTTGGCCAATTTTGACATTATTGTCAAACAATTTCCTTCTGTATCAACCAACTTGTTGCTTGGTTGTGTTATATATTTTTGGTTCTACCAAGTTCTTTTGTAAGACATGCTTTTCTTAAAATATGAAACAGAGGTACTTTAGCAAGCTTGTCTATTGTCGTTCACAGATGTAAGAGAAGGGCCTCCTTAAGGTCTTGCCTCTTTTTTTTAATTGACATTGAGAGGCTGAAGTATGAAAGGTCAAGCGGAGAAAAATGGATATCGGTAAAGTATCAGCATGCGCGAGAAGTCAGCAGAATGTCATGCTCACGCAGGTCACGTGAGGGGCACAACAGAAATGTGCTCACGTGATCCTTCTGCATTGCACTCAACCCTTACCAAGGCAAATGGTAAAAACTCAAGCCCTCAGCCAACTCATCACTCAGAAACACGAATTGATAACAGTTTACTTCCAACTCCTGGTGGACGGTTAAAATTCTTTAAAGATGGAAAATTTATTTTGGAGTTATCTCATCGTAGAGACGGGGAAAGAACCACGTGGTTTCCAGTTCCAAAAAAAACATTTTGGCCACCAGCTAGCACAACTCCAAATAGGCAGGAAAGTTCCACTTCTCTTAGTGGTAAGTAAAAGAATTAGCATTGTAAGTGCACATTTAAGTTCTTAACACTACGATTATACTTGTAGTCTCTGATGATAATTCGTCGGTTCAGTCAAGTCCTTGGCAAAGAGATCACTGCTGGAAGCAAGCAAACCCAAGACGTAGGATATCTACGGAGTTTAATTTTTATTATTATAGAAATCCAAGAAACCGTCTGTGTGCACATCCTCGCTTAATAGCAAGAAAGCGTAGACGTCCGTTAGATCCTACTTCTCACCTACTTGTTCCAGAATCAGTAACAAATTATATTAAGCTAACACGAAAGGCGAATGGTACACCAACTGGAAAAGTTTTAAATATAATCATCGACAAATTAGCGCGCCTTCTAGATCCTAATGTCGTTTCACCTCGCAAACGCATTCTGCGCGAATTGGAAAGAGTATCGTTAGAAGACCAAGCGTCTAAAAGACGCGCGACACCACAGCCTGTTTGTACAACGAGTGCTCCAACACCATCACCCAAACAACTATCATCGTACAGCATAACAAGTATCTTGGGAGAAGATAAGCCGAGTCATGAGCAAGGCTTTCTAAGGAATTTGTTGAAGCCAGATGATAGACAAACTGTGAAATACTCATCAGGTAACTCGTACCCCAGGGTACGGGTGGACCCCTACATTGGTACCACAAATACACCTCTTCAGCACCCACTGTATGGTGTGCCAATGTTACCTCCTGGACCATATAGAGCACCCTTATGGATGCATTATCCATCGCCCGTCCATTATCCACCTACTATGCCATTGTATGCACCACCACCACCTCATCCCCCATCTCCTCCAGTTCATCATTACAAAGACTACAGGGAACAAACTCTTACACCTCCTTCAGGTACACGTTTAAAAATATTTTTATGCAATGTCACTTTAGATTAGAAATTATACTAATCACTTATTATTATGGTTTATTCTTAGATATGCCTCTAAATCTGTCGAAGCATGCGGGTTGAATCTCAGGATCCTAAAAGTTGGTGCCTTATGAATGGACAAAACTGCGTAAACACTGCCCGTGCAACGACAATGCGATATATTAGTATTTTTTTATCCATAAACAATAGTATCGTAGTAAGTAGAAACATGCAACCAGAGGGACAAAGTCTGGGTGCTATACTTGTACATAGAAATGCATAAACCGTCAGAGTTGGCATAGGTATTTTATATTAATATTAAATTAAATCATGAGTAGTATTATGCAATTTTAATTGTAATTTAAACTATGTATGTATTACATAATTGAAAGTATGTACGTATAATCCTTTACAATTGATGTGCTCACTATTTTTTTTTCTGTTCAGTTTCAGAAAATTAAAAATGTTAATTATTTAAATAGAGGCGTGAATGTGTTCACCGTGAAATTTGTTTTATATTTCAAATTATTTTTACTACTCATGATTCGAACACCGTGATGAAAGGAAAAGAGCATGTTCTCATCTTATCTTGTTATTCTTATTAATGTTACTGTCATTATTATCATTAATAAATGATACGACTATCCATTTTAAAAGATTCATAAGAAAGACATAGAATTATGTACAGAACAGATTATTACCTATATTTAGTATAAATAATTATTCCTATGAATAGAAATATGATAATAAATTTAGGTTAATAGCATCCACAACAGTATACATTTATTTATATAATATTAATGAACAAAATTGCTTGGTAAAGACCGTGGGGTGTGCCTTAAATGATTACCTAAATTACAAGAATGCTAAATTATAAACATTGTCACGGACATGTATTATTATTATTACTACTATTACTACTATTACTATGTACATATGAATATAACTTTGCGTTACGTATTTGCATCAAATCGACATATTCGTCACTATTTATTATTAGTCAGGCGCATTACCAAACGTTTTACGCGAAAGGCAAACTCTCACACAGGCTCTACAAACTAGTGAGTAATTTCAACTATTCATTTACATACACTTCTTTTTTTATTAATTGAAACTGATGAAATATGTGACTGCGTGTAAGCAATTGTATAGAAAGACTAATTTCGTAAATATATAAATATTTCATATACTATACAACAGTTTTTCATTTATCATCTCTCATTACGAACACTATACAAAATTCTCGTAAGTAAATCTATATTTATTTATCGAGCCGATAAATCTCTCCCAGTTTTGCAAACCGCGACCTCCAACATACGCGTTCCAAGGAAAAAAGAATGATGACAACGATATCATATTTTTTTTTTAGCGAAACGGGTACTGCGCGCTCTGTGAAAATCTAAGGAATTCGAATTTCGCGGTCTGGTTCGCGAGTGCGCCGAAAAATTGGCACTCTATCGTCCAGTTTATCCCCACTCTCCGGTAGGGTAACGCAGACGCTGTGAAGACCGCGCAATCGTCGAGTCTTGGTAGTATCCGACCAGTGGCCTTGTTTTGTGGTATTCGTTGACCGGGTTGTATCGTCGGGATCGCGCGTTTTCCGTCTAAAATTCGTGAAAGCAGGCTTCCGTGCACGGCCAAACCGAAGGAGAAGACTCGCAGGGGTTCGTGTATCGTATGTCTCGGTGGAGTTTCGAATGCACGCGGGTTCGGAGGAAAGCGAGTGAACCGAGCTCCGGTAGAGGGGAGCTGGCAGTCTGTCCTGGTCGTATATGTAGCCCGCTCGGCGAAAATGAAAATGGCGGTGTTCCCGTATGAACGGAGCAACGGCCACTGACGATGTTCGTCACGGTAACGGACACGTGAGTCGTATCGAGTGCGGGCTATTCGCGCGTCTTTGAGTGTGCTATTCACGAAGATCGTCGAGTGTTCGGATTCTAGGCGGGAACCGGTCGGTGCGGGCGCGATATAGGGATAGCCGGACCACGATCGTATTATTTTTTTTCCGTTTTGAGTCGATCAGAGGGACAAACAAACACGATGGAGTGACACCGCGAAGTGTTGACTCCCCGTGGACAAGTGGGAAGTGTCGGCTGATAGAATTCGCGTGATTGGAGGACGATAAGCCTTCATGCCGATGCCGGCCGAATACCACGAGAACCACGGTAACCACGAGAACGCTAATTTCGCTCTCGGGGCCACACAGGACGCCAGCAACATGACGGCCAACATGTACCGGGTGGGAGGTAAAAAGTGACCGCACACACATTCCGCCGGCTGATGGCCACGCGTCCAGCATCGAACGTAGCCTTTAATTAACCCGAGAAATTAATGTTTGCGAATGGTGATCCGCGGCGATATGGCGTCCCCTGTATC